CAAACTGCACAGAGAGGAGACCAATTTTGTCGTTGTTGTTGTTGTTGTTAAATTCAGAATTATTTTAATCAAATGTTTTTTATTGAGTGATAATTGACATATAACGTTATATTAATTTCAGATGTGCAACAATGATTTGGATATTTATATGTATTATGAAATGATCACTATAGTAAGGCTAGTTAACATCCATCACAATACATTGTTACAAATTTTTTCTCATGAGAACTTTTAAGATCTACTCTTAGCAACTTTCAAGTATACAACACAGTATTCTTAACTGTGCGTTACATCCCCAGAACTTACGTTATAACCTGAATTTCGTACCTTTTGACCCTGTTTGCCCATTTCACCTACCCTCTGGAACTGATTCTTTTTTTTATTATTCACTCTATACCCAGTATGTGGTGTAGTGAGTGGGAGAGCAGGTACTTTATAAAAGGTATCGAATGAATCATGAACCCAGTACTTCTTCCTTGAAAGACCCTGATATGGGGGGAGTTAGCAACCCGTGCGCTCAGTTGTTAAACTGAGGCTAGTCTCTGTCTCTGTCTGTCTCTCTCTCTCTCTCTGTCAGAGAGAGAGAGTTCACAAGCAGGAGAGGGGCAGAGAGAGAGAGGGGGAGACAGAGAATCTGAAGCAGGCTCCGCGCTATCAGCACAGAGACGGATGTGGGGCCCAAACCCACAAACCGTGAGATCATGACCTGGGCCAAATCGGACACTCAACCGACTGAGCCACCCAGGCACCCAGGCTAGTCTCTCTTTAACAACCAACAGAATTACCAATCCCACACCTACTAGCCACGTTGACATTCACACCACATTCCCCCTCTCTTCCACCTCTTTTTAAAAACTTCCCGTGTTGGGGAGGGGGGAGAAATGTTCAAGATGACACTGACTTCTCTTGCATATCTAAGACATTCTTCACTCTCTGCCAGACCTTTTCCTAAACCTTGCCCAAAAGGAGATTATCTCTGTAATCCTGTCATACATAATGATTCTCTTTTCCCACATTTTCCTCCAGCTCCCCACCCGGTCCTAGTCAAGCATTACCTAACTTTCTAATCCTGTTCCGTGTCTCTCAGGATTTCTTGACACAGTTTTAATGATGCCGAGCCCTGAAGCTGGACATCAAAGGAATAAAGCATGAAAAGTATCTATTCTGTCATAAGATTTATTCAGTGCTCTGTGTCCTAGTTTGGGGGTGTGCAATGTGTGAAAACCGCCTCATTTTCAGCCAGATACAGAGCCCGCATTGAAAAAGCACAAGCCTTGTATAAAGTTTCTTATCTTTATTTTTTTTTTAATTTTTTTTTCAACGTTTATTTATTTTTGGGACAGAGAGAGACAGAGCATGAACGGGGGAGGGGCAGAGAGAGAGAGGGAGACACAGAATCGGAAACAGGCTCCAGGCTCTGAGCCATCAGCCCAGAGCCCGACGCGGGGCTCGAACTCACGGACCGCGAGATCGTGACCTGGCTGAAGTCGGACGCCCAACCGACTGCGCCACCCAGGCGCCCCAACTTATCTTTATTTTTTAACTTCACTCGAATAAGGAAAACAGAATTAGTTCCATTGGAATTTTATTCACCTGTTTATTTTTATTCTTTTTTTTTAGGATAGTTGCCAGACAATGTTACATTAGTTTCGGGTATACAGCTTATGGATCGGACAAGTTCACAAATTCTGCTACTTCCTAGACTCACCACAAGCATAGGTCTGCCCTGTTACATTGCTCTTACAGTATCGTTGACGATATGCCCTGTGCTGTGCCTCTTATTCCCATGATTTCTTCATTCCCAAACGGGAAGCCAGGATCTCCTACTCCCCTTCGCCCATTTTGCCCCTCCCCCCAGGCCTCCCCGCTCTGGCCACCATCCGTTTGCCCTCCGTATGGTTTTGACGGCGTTGTGTTTGTGAGCAACAGGAGAGGGCATGGCCATGGGCTGAAGGGGTGAAGATAAAAAGAAAAGGAAAAGAGAAGCCGGTGAGGATGGCCTGATACCAGTCTTGCACCCAGGTGCCTACCTCATCCTGTATTCCCTACCATTTCTTCTCTGGCACAGCTGTGTGTTGGAATTTACACAGATGTAGACAATGAAGCCCTTGCACCTTGCAACTTGGCTCCCAAAACAGTTTATCCCATTGTCTACACAGATGCCATTTGAGTGAGAATTTAGAAAATTCAAGAGTTTAGAAAATGATCTCCTCCATCCCTGCCAGAGTCCTTGGAGCTCACAGCGCTTAGAAATAAAACGAGGCTCTCTGATGGGCCTTGGTGTGTACCCACGGGCGGATCTGGCAGATTCGCCACTCAGTGTCCCTGGCTTGTGTATATTCTTTGCTGCCCTATGTCCTCCTTCTCCAAGAGCAGGGCCCCTTCAGTGAATGAGTGCCATGCCAGCTGACAGAGAAGGGCACACTGTCTCTGTGGCCAAATGGCCATAAACCATAAGCAGCTGTTGTTTTCCTAAATGTGGTTCAGAGCTTCTGTTCTCCAGCAGAGGGAACAATAGTGCCCCGAAGGTGTCTTTGGCACAAACCGATGCTGGATCTCTAAGAGCGTGTCTGTGAGTTAAATGGTCCAACAATGGAAAAAGCGTCTTGCCCAGAGTCCTGTCGGGCAGCCCTCAGGTTAGAGAGAGCTTTAGACAATGGACACGCTGGACTCAGATCAGCTCCAGTAAGCGATAGCAAAAGCAAACTCTTGACCTTCAGGTGTTTCTATTTCACCAAAGAAATTCTATCACACACCAAGGAATTGATTTTACACAAGGCTGATTTTAAGCTTGGCTTAGTAAAATTCCTCCCTGGAACTTGTTTCCGGAAGGTGGAGAAAAGTTAGCCCAAGTGAGAGTGATTCAGGTGCACTTTGACAGCAGCCAAGCTCATTCCCTGTCTTTAAGGATTTCCTTACAAAGAGGAAGGATACACGTAGTTTTCAAGGAGGGGGTGGAAAGCATTTCCCCTAACTCTTAGGGTTCCAATGTGGGGTCTGTAGGTTCCAGGAAAATGAACACAGAAGTGCTGGCATGTCTCCACTTACAGGTTTGTTAGTTTGTTTTGGTAAAATTGTCCATAGCTTTCTTTGGATTCTCGGACAAGTCTGCAGACCGGACTAGGTTAAGAACCGGTGCCCTGTGTCCTACATTATTTCACATTCCTCTATCATTAGGGACAGTGACCCTGAAAGCAGAGAGGTCCAATAGTGGAAGATGAACCCGGGCTGTTGCCAAATTCCCTGAATAAGGAAATTGATATCTACCACACATTGATTCCCTCCCAAATGACATTATATACCAACCTCTACTCCTACAGGAAGTGAAATAATAAGAAATTGTTCTGTCCGCAACAATGCCACCCAGGCATCGTCTGTTCCTTTTGTGACACTCAGTATACTTCATAACAGCCTCTCTCTGCCTTTGCCCCTGTCCCAGTAGGAATAGGCCTGGTTCAGCCATCCTTTTGTCCCGGAGAGACTCCCTACCTTACGTACTCCTTCTTGGCAAAGAGTCTTGACTAAAATTATCGCTTGAGTACATCCTGTTCTTGTTTCCATTCTGAACAGTACCTAAAGGGATTATTATAATCCAGGGCTATATAAAGGCATCAAAAGGATTGAGATAATTGAGCTTATCTAAACGTTGATGCCTAAGCAACTAGCCACGAACAATATCCAACTGTACTACAGGGTGTGGTTCTGATGTCAACAGGATAATTGGTGAAACCGTCAGACAGCCAGACTTGACAAAGGGACATGTTTCCGTGGCCAGACTCTCTCTGCGGCTATTTCTGTTGATGCTTTTCATAGTCCACTCTCGGCCCATCCTGAACTACGTGGTCCTTTTACCGGTATTAATCCAATAATTGTAAGGAATTATCAGTGTCCTTTGTCACTCATTCTGCAACTTTCCAAAGTTCAGGCTTTACACAGAGAACCTTCGTCCCGGATAGTGTTCTACCAATAGCACCATCTTTCTTGTTTCACTAACACTCCAGGGTGACACATAGCTTATCATCCAGGAGAAATGCCACACGTGACAACAGGTGCACAGACCCTCCAGGCGAACTGGAACATGGTTACCATATCCTGCACAAAACCACGCGATGCTCAGGGATTCATTCATCTCGGTCACACGCTGTACTCGCATCACCTTCCTCACATTTGATCTCTTCTCCCAGATAAGGTGAAAATGGTAGAAGATGCTTTGGGGCAACAAGACAATGAATTCCAAGTTAGGAACTGTCTGAAGAGGGGCACCTGGGTGGTTCAGTCGGTTGAGCTTCCAACTCTTGATTTCAGCTCAGGTCATGATCCCAGGGTCGTGGGATCAAGCCCTGCCTAGGGCTCCACACTGAGCTTAGAGCTGCTTAAGATTCTCTCTGTCTCTCTCTCTCTCCCTCTCTGCCCCTCCCCCACACTTGCATTCTCTCTATGTATGAAGTATTTTTTTTTAATTTTTAACTCACTGAAGAAAAAATAGCCATTTTATAAAAGTCGTGAACTTAGCTGCTCCCTATGCTGCATTATTACATAGCCCTTTGCTGCAGCCAGCTGCCGTTTTGCCCTTGAACCATCTCATGTTTTTGTTTTTAATGTTTATTTTTGAGAGAGACAGAGCATGAGCAGGGAAGAGGCAGAGAGAGGGGGAGACACAGAATCCGAAGCAGGCTCCAGGCTCCCAGCTGTCAGCACAGGGCCCGACGCGGGGCTCGAACTCACGGACCGCGAGCTGTGAGATCATGCATGACCTGAGCTGAAGTCGGATGCTTGACTGAGTGAGCCACCCAGGCGCCCCCCATTTCATGCTCTTTTACATGCCCATTAGGCCATGTTGTATTTAAAACCTGATTTCTCTCCCCACATTCCATATAAACGTAAAGCATCATTTGGTAATCAAGTCATCCAAAAAACAGCTACAGAATCGATACCAGAATTGCCAGGAGCGAGAGATACAATAAAAACCAGCCCGTGCTCATTCTTTCTTCTTTCCACAGATTCGAAACGTGGCAGCAAATCTCTGCGTGGACAGCAAGCACGGAGCCACAGGCACCGAGCTGAGGCTGGATATCTGTGTCAAGGACGGTTCTGAAAGGACGTGGTCTCACGAGCAGGTATGTGACAGGTGTAAGCGGGGCTGAGGCAGGCGTGGAAGGATGCAGTGAGAACAGACCTCTGGGCGGGACACGCGGACCTGCCCAGTTCTGTCACTAACCAGCGAGGCAGTTACGTGAACGACTCCACTTCTTTGTTTCCCTGGCTGCTCAGAGAAGCTGCGATAATCAATTGCGATCATGTATGCAAATGTGCTTTCAATAGTAGAAAGGATGCTAGAAATGTTGACTGTGACCCCAGGCTTATATTTCCTTTCCCAGAAGGAGAGTCTTCAAACCACGAAGAGCCTCTATGGTGTCATGTAACTCTTCCAACTAAGTTTCATGGTTTTATTGAAAGACTCTGTGTTATTTTGTCAGCTTTCGTGACTTTGCCTAATCTTATTTTCCCCTCTGGCTGTATGTTGAAAAGAATACTTTACATACCCCTCTTGTTGTAGCAGTTTGTAATCTTCTACATGAAGGTAACTTTGAAGCAGTAACATCTCCACACACGGGCTTCGTGGGCTGGCGCAAGATTAGGTATTGCCTTTGATTGAAAAGCCTTTCAGTGCGCTTCTGTTCACTGAGTGAGTTGTGAGTCCCGTCCACTTGGAAAACGGATGGTCTTTAGGAGGGAGTTTCCTCACACTGTGTCACTTGAAAAAAAGAAAGGAGAGTGGGTAGAATTGTGTCTGCCCCTTTTTATTGTTTTAATTTTTAATTATGAAAAGTCAAATAGGAAACTATATATAAATAGATATATACTAATAGAAAAACTAATATAAACTATTATAGCACATCTGGGCGCACTCATTACACAGATTTAACAAGTATCTACAGCTATTGCCATCTTTTTTTAAGTTTATTTATTTATTTTGAGAGAGAGAGAGAGAGTGTGTGTGTGTGTGTGTGTGTGTCTGTGTGTGTGCGTGGGAGGGGGAGAGAGAGAGAAAGGGAGAGGGAGAATCCCAAGTACGTTCCAACTGTCAGTGTGGAGCTCAACACAAGGCTCAAATTCATGGAACCGTGAGATCATGACCTAAGCCAAACCCAGGAGTCTTAACTCTTACCCGACTGAGCCACCCAGGCATTCCTGCCAAATTTTTTAAAAGAATAGAATTTGTAGATACAGTTAAAGCCCCTTCCCCATCCTGCTCCTCTCTCTCCCTCTACTAAAGGATACATCCCCAATTCAGGAGAGTATAACCCACCTGTGCTTTGGTTGTCAGAAGGGTCCCTAATTTCTCTCTTAAAAAACCGAAAACAGTAGACCAACAGTTTCCAGTAAGGCCCTCGCCCTCTCCTTTAGCATATTCCTCAAGTGTCCATCTTGTATATTCAACCAGTGAAGACACGCTGTGCCCAGCCTAAGATCTTAAAGAATTGGCACCTCCCTGTCCCCACCCCACTGTCCCTTCCTACCGCACCCGTAGCCTGCGTTACAGGGGAGAGCAGCATGACTCAAGGAAGCGGTCGCACAGCATGTACACAACACAGCCCGGAACCAGGGCAGTCGAACCACCTCCGCCACCCCTCTAGCCGCTGATCTGGGCCTTTCCCTCTGACCCACAACCTTGCGGTGTTCCGGAAGGATCGTGGGCCTCGCAGTCAGGCCAACCTAGATTTCAGCCACTCTAACCTGTGTGACCTTGTGAAATGGTTAAGTCTTTCGAAGCTGGTGTTCCTCCTCTGTAAATAGGGACAATAATGTTCACCTCACAAATGGGGTTCCAATGAGAAGAAAGCACGTCTAGGATATAACAGCATCTTGCATGTGTGGTAGGGGCAGAATAAATACGCTTTCCCTTCTACCTTCTGACATCTCCTCCCCCAGCTCACTTCCTACTAAGTCCAAATTAGAAATTTCTCTCAGGCCCAAGGCAGCTGCCAACACCAAATACTATTTGTCATTCACTCAAGTATATCCTCCAGGATATGGACGTTTATCAGATGGGTTTTAAAGAGGCTCTGCAGCTCCGGGATTTACGAATAGGAATGTAATGTCAGTAAACTCTGACTTGCCTCCTCCTTCCTCCACCTCTTTGTATGAGCACCACAGGGATGCTACCAGGGATGTGAGGAATAGTGCTGGCTTGTCACCTCTACAAAGCAATTCCTACCTCAGCCTGGGA